ATTCCTACTACACTACGCATTGTTTGTGGAGCCACACTCAAAAGAAAAGGGTGGACGTCATTGTTTCCCCTATCATATAATAATTTCATTGAATAATCGGAATACTTGGAGTGGGGAACGAAACCCACAAATTCTTTTTTAGAACCAAAACCTATTTGATTTCGAAACAAGCAGAAAATGAATACGATCGTATCCGTGATGAACACGTGGCATCATTCATGACCAGGCCACCTCTGGAATCAACCGGGCGCCGGGTTCCACCACCCGGCCCGTCCCAGGCAAATTCCCACAGCCACCTTTTGAGGGGACTTTCCACCTCAGCATCGCTGCAGGTTCGTCGAAGAAAGAAATCGGTGGTCACTTTCGTCTGAGTGGATGGACGGTTCAGATGCGACGGACTATCCATTCTCCTCCCGCCTTTATTGCTGCAGCACGTGGTATTTATGGGAGAGAGGTGGAACGTCATGGAGAAGCGAATAACGAACTTCCGTGGAGATTCATTCGTAGGGTTTCATTCATCCATTGGAGAAGTCTGCAAAACCTAGCATGAAGTAAACAATAAAATGAATTAAAATCTAGTCAACCTGTGGATGAAAAAATTGTACCTTCTCCTTCCAGTTTTGCACTCTCCATGTTGGCGAATTGCATTTTGCTTAAGTGGACGACTAGCAGTAATAAAAATTGGTCTCTCAATATTTCATTTTGGCCTTCCTTTTCCAAAATTACAATTTTGTAAAGAAGGAGAAAAATGTGAAATCAACTGGGTACCAGAATTCTTAGTTTGTTCTATAAAAGAACTGATTTCTATCTAATTTACAGCATAATAAGTAGATATCATTTACAATAGACTTCTAAAATTTTAGTCAAGAGTTGAATTAAATTAGATTCATAGTTCTCTTTGCAAAATTAAAATAATCTGAGAATGTGAATAAAGAGTAGTTGTATTGGACTATTAGAATATTATATTTTTTATGACAGAGTTATAACGAATCAGATAGAATAAGTGTTATATTTTTAGGTTTATTCATACTGATGTAATAAATTTATTTTGGTATTTTCTTAAATCACATTTAAGTTTATTCAAAATAGTTTATTTTTTACTAATGTACTAAATCTAATATAATATAATAATAAGATCTTTTGGTTTAATTTTTTATGAAATACAAGTATATTAGATTTTTTACTGTATGAATTTAAAAGCCTTAAGAATAATAATTATGAGCTCTAATATATTAATTTGAGTTAAATATAGAAGCAAAACATACTATAATATATTTATATCTAACTATTAAAACTATATTAAATTAATATATTATTAAATTACAATTAAATACTTTATTTTACCTCTATTATTATTTTTACTCAGCCCAATGAACTAAATTGGAAATCCACACTAATTGGGTCTAAATAATAAAAAATAGCTTTGACTAACAAGGTCTATAGTTGGTCCAATATATCCAACCCAGCTAAAAACCAAAACCTTAGTTTAAAGCAAATTAAATGAAGACAACATGTAGTTGTTAATACAAAGATGATTAGTTGCCAAAATTAAATAATAGTAATATAAGTTTATGGTAAGATAATTATTGGTTATAACCTTTTTATTACTATTCTTATATTGTTCAATCTAAAATTCTATTTGAACCAGTTGTGCATTAGAGTGTCTTTATTGTTATTTGATCTATATCAACCTTACTATTTTTCAAGTTGAAGTTGAGTTATATATAATTTGGTTCAAACTAGTAGTTAGGCCAAACATCTTCTTTACATAGATTCTCTCTACAACCAATTCACTTTAGCACAATCAAGTGTGATTCTATTTAGTGTTTGCAATTTGAAATTCAATAAGGAATTCAATAACATAGCAATAACTAAGGATAGTTTGTAAGCCTTTCTAAGTTATGATTAGTTTTGTATCGAAATCCTGAACTATCAAATTCTATACTACTTTATGTCTATAATACTAGAAAGAAATATTGGAATTAGAAATGTAAACATTTACTTTTAGTGCATTTTTTTTTCTTCTTAATTTTGGATGTTTCCAACATAGATAATATCAATGACAATTCTTTCAATTGGTATAGTATCAAAGTTTAATATATATTACTTTATCTTTAAATATTATTTTTTTTGTCTTCAAAGATTAGTCTCATTTTATAAAATAAATATGATTATTTTTGTGATTATTTTTATCTTTTTTCTTAATATTTTATTATCTTAAGCATGCATAGTTTTAAAGACTTATCAACATTAATTTTTATGTACGTTTGTTGTTCTAATTTGATTCTATAAAAATTTAGTAATTTTTATATATTCATACTACACATTTGCATTTGTATAAAGAGACTTTCAACTAACTTTAAATATATAGAATCTTAATAAAAGATTTTTTTGAAGATAAATATTACTATTTTTTATGATTATTTTTTTTGGACTTTTGAATTATATTTTTGATTTAATTAAGAATTCTAAATTATACACATATTTTAGTATTTTCATTATTTTTCTAAATACCTTAAATAATATAATTTTAAATTACCAAAAATACCAATTTTTTTTTTTTTTTTTCTAATTGCTACAATATTCAATTCTATATAATATAATTATATCTAATCTTTATCTAAAAATGATAGAAACTTAAATGAAAAATTATTAAGTTGATAATTTAAAAACACGTAAAAATATTTATATTTGTTATGTCAATTTAAAGATCACAAACATCAACATTGGCATTAGTAATTAGGATGATAAGAGGAATTAGGTAGAAATAAAGTAAATAAATTTGATAATATTTAGTGGATTATATTCTTAATAGCTTTGTAGACATAGTTTTGACTTTACAAGTGTTTATAGGTGATTAGTAGATTGAAAACTTGGCCAATAAGTTGGTCATGTGGCACATATATGAAAAATTTGCCTTGCAAGTTAGACATGTATTAGATGACATGTAGAACATTGCAACTTAGCTCTTTAGTCAGATAGTATACACAGAGGTCAAAGTGAAACCTTCCTCACTCCTATTAATGCCTTTCTTGTATTCTTGTCCTAATTTAAGATTCTTTGGTCTCTTTTTATTTGACAATAATTACTCTAATTTTTGTCTTATATCTATTTTAAATTTGTTTACTTTCGCTTTTTGAGTGTCACAAGAGTATGTTGTTTCTTTAAAGTTTTGCTATGATTTATGTCTTTGATACTAAATAAGTTTAATTTTTATTTTATTTAATCAATTATAAATAATTTATTCATATTAAAACTTTTTTAAAAATTAAAATTGAATATGAACTAATATGTAAGGCTATTAAAATTATTGGAAGTGATCAAAAAGATATCCGGCCTTTAATATACTATTAAAATTTTCTTTCTACTTTTATAAAGAAATCTATTGTTATTAATTATGTTTTTATTTACTAAATTTTATTTTTTAAAAAATATATTATTAATTTTAATATCTTAAATATTTCAATAATTTTAATGTATCTTTTTTTTAGATTTAGTGATTTTTTTGGTGTTATTATATAATAGTAGTATGGAATTCGTCTTAATTTTATATTTATTAATAGAATATTTATTTTGATTGTTATATTTTTTAACAACAAATCTAATGTAGATTTAAAGCCCAATACAAATTTAAATATAATTATCACATTATATAATATTATTCAAGTAATTTATTGAACCATATTTTTGTTTCTATTTACTTAGATAATATTATTATTTAATCTAAGAACACAAAATACATAATGTTTTTATTTTATTATAATAAAATATATTTTAAAATTTTAATATATATATATATATATATATATATATTTATATGAAATAATTATTATAAGTCTCTCACCTTCTTGATGCCATTTTTTGCATTGATTTAGTTTTAAATTAAGGTCTCTTTATATCATAGATTGTTTTATTGTTAAAAAAGTAAATTAATTCAGCTTTTACAAATCAACATCTAAACTTAATTATTGGTTGGATAATGATTGGTAATTTTTATTTATAAATAGTTAATTCCATGGAAGATTTATTATCTTAAGTTTAGATGTAAAACAATAAGAGAAGAAGAGAAGAAATGATGGATGGAAAAATAAAAAGTTGCATGAAAAAAAAAATGAGGAATATTTTATAGTAACTTAATCAAACGATTTTGTATTTAGAAACAAGAGCATAAGTCACAAAGATTAATCTATGTGGTTTTTTGTAGATCCTTATAGCTATAAGATTTAAGAATTGATTTTATGCATCAAACTTGTTTCTAGTTTTTCCTTATGTATTGATTAATTGACTTTATGCACATTAATTTAGAATATTGTATCTTTCTTTTAATGACTTCTTTTTGGACTATTTCTACTGACTTTCTCTATAGAAAAATAATATGAGTAGAAATACTAATGTTTTTGGATCTATCCAAATTCTTTGTTTGAATTAATACCAGTTTTAAGTATTTTTCTTCATTACAGCAACATTTGAAAGACTATCTAAACTAAATCCTTGGATTGAGCACTACAAAAGATTATTTATTCAATCCTATAAATTTAGACAAATTGAAATTCTTCTAACTTTACTAAAATCAATCATTTTAAATATAAAAAATCCAAGGAGATTTTTTTTCAAGACAAAATGCATTTGAACAATACACATTAAATAAACATAATTCATCACTTCTACACCACTCCCACTTAATGGATTCAAATTTGCAACCTCTAAACACAACAAAACGATAAACATCTTCTTTTCTCTAACTCTTCTAATGCATCCATGTGTATTTATTAGATAGAGAGGAAAGAAGAGGGGAGGGGGAGCTGCACCCAAGGATACTCTTTTACTTTTTGTCGAAGCTTTTGAAAAAAAGGAGCTTTTGGGAGAGGACCCGGTGTCTGCGCACCACGGGACCCTGTATTGTGGGAGAAGGGGGTTCGGCTATGGCGATGGCCATAGCCGAGGCTCTCTCTCTGGCCCTCACGCTCAATCATACACACGCTAACTTTACACCTGCGCGGGGTTCGCTTATCTCTTGAAGGCTCTTGAAGGGCCCAAAGGCGCCGCGGGATGCGAGCCCAAGGACGAGGGTCGTGATCCAATGACGGAGCCTGTCTGCATGAGTTGAGTTGTGCATGCATGTCGCCATGAAAGCAAGGGAAGAAGTGAACGGAGCGAGAAGGGGGAGAGAGTGAGAGGCGTGTTTCCACTCCGCCGGTGCAGTTGCAGCCAGCATCCCCCGCCCTAATGGATCAGCTATAAATAGGGATCGCACGCCAATCGGAACCAGTTCCATCCCTGATAGGCCTCATCGGCCACATCAGAGAACTATCTCGCAGAGATAAGAAACGAATCAGATCCTTCTTCGTCGGATTCCGTAGTTCGGGTGCCCCAGTCGGGCAGCTTTCTAGGGTCGACCTTGCGCTTCCCCCTGAGCCCCTTCCCCTCGTGTGGATTGGCGAGTAGGGCCTGCGCTGCTGCTGACGCTTTGGTGGCACCCTAGAGCTGCCGCAGCTTCTTGGGTTGGATTTGGTTAGTGTTTGATTGCGTTATTAATATATTGATCTTTCGCATGCATTTGGGGCTTTTCCAGAGCCTGGCCTCATGTGTCCACATCATGCTAGGGTTGGATGTGACAGCAATTCCGCCATAACGTCGGATCGGGAGGCCCCCATGGAGGGGGGGAGGGGGCATCTAGCGCCAGTTAGTTACGTGGGTTGGGATTCGCGAGGTTTGCAAGCCTGTCACGAGAATGTGTGAGGGATCCTGGAAGCGACGCCATGTCGATTCGAGCTGCCAGGTTCCTGGGCAGCTGCTGCTGCACGTTACTCCCGATGAATGAAAGTCTTTCTATCGTGAAAAGCCTCATGAAGTAGCATTTCTACTACCTTTCCACATGGGAGTTTTCCTCCAATCTTTGAGAATGTTAAAATTACATTTGCATTTCAAGAGCTGCTGTAAATCTGCCAATTTACATAATCTACACGTTTCATTGTAGGCTGAACCAGACGCGGTTAGAAGACTTAATGCTCATACGCCTAGTATATTCTCCACTGCTTTGTCATCAAGCACAAGCTCATTTGCTCAGATGGTCGTTTTTAGTTTACCAGCACACAACACCTCGCATATTCTTCATCGAGATCATGAAAAATCAGGGACCCACAATCAACTTAAAATGTGCTCACTGTGAACACAGTTCAACGCATCGGTTATGACGGGACATTATATGGTGCCACCGTCTCCCGGACTGGGTGCCTTACGGGTGAAGATCGCCCTTCTACCACATTCACAACCACCCAACTTGAATTCTGCTTCTACAGGCTTTGAAGTCATTCGTGCAAACAGAGCTTTACGAATAGTTAGAGGCTCAGAGATGGCGGCTACTTATAAGTTCAAATATTCATTTCGAAAATTTCCACCATCTCCACGACCATGACACCTGAGATGGAAGCACCTGTAGAGTTAAAATATGCCACCAAAAATGCTATGTCTTATGTCTTGCAATCTATATCATGGGTGCAAGCTCAAGGTGCCTGAAGGAAGATTACATTTACAGAAACATCCTTTGACTGACACATCTCCCGACATCGATAGGAAAGTCTTATGAGTGTCGTTGTCGCAATTATCAGATGCAAATCAAATGACAGGCAGAATAAAAGCGTCGAAAACGACGATGTATGCATCAAAGTGAACCACGAGTCCACCAAACTGGAACACAGGCTTTCTGTAGAGCAGAATATCACTCTTAGTCCCACCTATACACAAGGTAATGACAATGCTAATTACCTTGATGGTGAAAAGGCTGGACTACGATCCAACAACTTATTCGAACAACAAAGCAAAAACCCTGAACAACCTATACAAGACCTAACTCGTAAACTGAAGTAACTCAGATGAGGACTCTGATGAAGGACCCAAAAGTAGACACTGAACACACGAAGAATTCTAACAAAGCGTTGAAGGTTAGCGGAGGCGGTTTCAGATTTATGGTCTTTCACTGGGGTTTGCAGGCGATTGATGGGCAGTGGCGGGTGCCAATCCCGGGTATCGGGTTCTGAAACCCCGACGAAACAACGTTGGTGGGAACACGTGACTAAAGCCTTAGTCGATCACCTGAACCCTTTGTCCTCAAATCATTGTAGAATTCTTGTGGATGCAGCACATAGCGGATGAATCGAAGAGTATGAGAATGAAGACGGCAGTGGTGCAGTGGGGTGCTGGTTAGCCATGGACAAAGTGAGGATTAGGTAGATTCGAAAAAATGCTTCCACATCGCTGGCCCTGAAATTGGGCTCACCCTCACAGGAATGGCACGTGCAGCAGAATACGAGCGAGTGATTTGAGGTGTAACGGAGAAGCATTTATCAGTCTCCAGTCGTCTAGTCCAAGAGCGTTGAATACTTTCATGTGAATTGGGAGAGCTCCACACAAGCATAACATTGTGGGCTACATGAAGAGCCTAATGTCCGAGAACAAGTTCTCGATAATTTTCGGAACCATGACGGAATGAACGCTGTGCAGGGTGCGCGAGAGCGATTTGGGAGGATGATTAGAGCTTTCCAAACAGCGAGTCGGTTGCTGATGTGTTTAATCGCGTCATTAGCATTTGATCTCACCGCAGATTCTTTCAACTTTTTTTTCCCTTCGAAGTCAGTTCAGGGTTTAGAAAGCTTTTAGGGTACGAACTTCCTGTGATTCTGAAACGGGTGGCTGCTTGAGGTCCATGGCCTCATATAGAGGACCAGAGACTTGCACCATGTCTAAGCAGAACCTCATCATTATTTCCCATAACATCACCACCAAGCTGTTTTTTGCAGTGCGGTGGTTGTGGCGAACTGAGCAGTTTGAAGCGAGGGACGGGAGTGGTGAGTAGACTGAGAGCCGCACTCCATTCTTCGATCATTTCAACAAAACCGATAAACTACATTGCTTTCGCACATATTTCCAAAAAACTAAAGCATAGAAACCTGATGGTTGCGAGGACAAACATAATTGACTACTTGCTAACTCGGAAAAGGATCAATTTCATACAACTATGAATGAAGCACGGAAGTAGCTCGACTTCGATGGAGCGACCACAACTCAACTCTCTAAGGTTCTCAGTACAACTTCGAAACCTGCACCAATTTTTTGGGGCAACTTGGTGCAGCTCCTTGAACACCCTAGCTGCCTCCATTAATCAGGCCATGAACGGGAATTCTAACTAAGCGGCTTATCCAAGGTAGAGGTTCTATTTGTCATTCCCTCTGAACCTTCTCCAGACCTTTTCATGGATGCATGCGAGAACTCGAACTGGTCAGCCACTCCTACGCTGGTCGCAAGGTAGCTAACCAGAGATTCTACCGTGGGCATAGTCGGAAGGACCTCCTCAGGGAGCGCAGGACAACACCGTGGTAGAAACTCGGGCTTGTCACGAAACCTGGAATGGAGCGCGAAAACTCCTCGGCACAAAATGAACCTACAATCACCAATTTAGTGCTTCAGTTAACAGCCCACATGGTAAAGCTAACTTTAGGTTGAGAGCTTCAGGTAGAGAAGGAACGTACTCTATCACATGCTCAAAGCTTGCTGCATACCTGAGCACAAGTTGACGAAGAAAAGGATCATGCAATACACGAGCCCAGGCGTAGTTGATTGAGGTTGACGCTGCGAGGATGTTGCCCAAGTCTGCCAGCAGTGTTGAGAGGAACTTCTCGGTGTGTTCCAATTGGCCCTGCTTATGCACATGAATGACAAAGTATATGAAACTTTTCCTCAACATGGAAGAGTGAAATGCCATCGGTGGGAAATGCCAAACCTCTGCAATATGGAACCCACCTTCTGCAAGGTTGAAATCGAGATCCCAACGACTCGACAAAATGCAAGAAACGGGGCGGTCAAGAAGAATGTGAACATGTTGCCACAGCTGTTGGGATATGATACAGATGCTGGGACTCCCATGCCTTTCTCATCAGGCTGCAAGCTCGGCGACAGCAGCATAACTGCTGGTTCTCCTCTCTCGTTTCCACTCAGGGACTGTCACACGTGCAGCTACAAGTCAGCAAGGCCCGTGTTCTCATGTTCTTTTCAGTTATGCTTGTTTGCATAAAAAAATATCATGTAAATATGAACAAGCGCAAGCACTTGAAAATACCAACAGGTCACTGAGTAGCAGAATCACCTCGAAGACGCAGCTGTTATCGCTGTCAACTATGATGAAGAGAGGGCGACGCGTAAACGGGAGAATGTCACTTGGATAAAGGAAATTATCACCTGAAAAAAGAACAAAATGTCCACATTGCTCGTGGCAGAATTCATGATTAGTGTTTAAACAATTCAGTACGATACAATCGACAGTCTACAGTAACAATGTCATTCCTGGGAAATACATCAGGACATTAAACAATTGAATGAAAGGCAAAAAAATAAACTACCTGGGCTACGCCTTGACCCCAACCGAAGGCCAGGGCTGGGGCTACCAGGTGAATCCAAAGCTGAGCTTCTATCCCCAGCAGTTCCTTTCTTAGGACTGTCTACGGGGGTACTTGCTGCCGAATTGTCACTTTGATCAATCTCAGCCATCATACCGCCTATACCAGGCTTCATGTAAGATTGAATATGAGAGATTGTTAACTGATTCAAGCTGAGAGTAGGAGTCAAAGAGACAACCTTGCTGTTTCCAGATGAAATATCCATCATCAAATTTGCTGAGGACGGGTGAGAAGACATCGTGGACCGAGCTGACTTGCCTGCATTAACGGGACATAGCCCCAGGTATACAACACAGTAAAATTTTAGAAAAAATCACTCCAGAATCAGTGCTGACGTAGTCTAGAGATCAGGAAACAAAAATCATAACCGAGAGAACTTGAGCTTCAATAGTAGTCATCACTTTGGTGTCTCAGATCATTTATCAAGTCTTGCCATGAACTGCCCCAACAGAAAACTAGTAAATGTCTGCATATTATGCAACATCTTTCAGAAAATAAACAAAATTTCGAGGAGTCTTAGTACCTGATGCAGCCACATAAAGCAATATACAAGAATTAGCAGGAATCTCTTCACAAACTGTAGCCAGTACCTGGGAATTGTCAATTACCAATTCTTAATGTCAAACAACGATTACGACTGTCCTCGAAACACACAAATTCTTTCTGGAAGACTCCAGAGACATGCGTTTTTATTGTCACTCAACCAAATTGCAAAATTAGGATCCCAATTAATTGCAAGAAGACCCTAGGAAACCAATGCACAACTAGAAGCTTTTTCACTTACGAGAAGCAAATGCTGGACCGATGGACGGTATAAGATGTATTTATGGGGATTGGGGGGCAAGCTAGGGTCAGGGATTTCCTCTGCAACTCCAACGTGACTTGACGTGCTCATCCTACTACTAGGTTCTCCGATACGTGTGCGATATAAAGAACCGCTGGGTTCCCATTCCAAGGCTTGCAGCATTCGGAATGTATCCAAAGATAGCTCACTAAACTTAACCTGAAAGCAAGCAAAAATTCATCGTTTATTATTCGAAATAAACAGCACATGAGTGTTATCAGAAAAGTGATATGTTTCTTCGGAGAAGCTTCGATGTCACTATAGTTGATGCAGATTGCACCTAGGGGATACAGGATATACATGATATGCATGTATTGGACACAATAGAATTTGTGTTGGACGCTACCCAACACAGCTCAATTCTCCATTTAAAAAAAATGAGTTTCTTTGAACAGCTCGAGCTGCAAAAGACTCAAAGTATACCAAAGGGTGATGATGCGAGAGGATAAACATGATTAATTAAACCAGGGAAGAGTACTGACCTCGTTGTGATAGTAGCTAGCAAGAATTGCATCCTCCAGTCGCAAAGGTTTGATGTCTTCCATGGTGGCAACTGCTGGAATTGAGGAAGGGTGAGAATCCAGCAGCACACTGTATCTCAAAGGCCTGCTCAACTCACATGCCGCATCAGCTTTCATGAATCGAATTACCTCTTGCACTACCACTTTCCACTCCTTTGCGTCAGCGCCCTGCACCCAAATACCAAGATTAGTTTTCCCTTAACTAGAAAATATTCTAGTCAAGAAAAGCGACTGAGGAATTCATGGAGAATGCAATAAACAGTTTGAGTAACCATAGAGTACGTCATGTATGAACTAGCATGATTTTTAAGGAACTTTTATTATAATAACAGGAATGTTTGACTTCACAAAGCTTGAATAAGCATTTCCAACCCATGGCAGGTGAGGCTTCTCAGCAAGTACTCTATGAAGTCCTCAAAAAACAGTAAAGGAAAGGAAGGAAGAAACTAATGAATGGCTTGGTTGGAAAGCATAAAAAACACCTGGTATGTATGGCCGAATTCATCCACAAGAGTTCGCAGATGGCGCACCAGCATTTGCACCATCTCTCTCCGGTTGAGAAGCAAGCAAATCACAATAAACCGTGCACAGAAGCGCAGTTGCTTATTGGCCAAGGGGGCATCCTTTTCAGTGTCTTTGAAATAATCCCGTGTCAAGATGGCTTCATAGAAAATGTAAGCCTCTGAAAGGAACTTGGCATCGCTGGTGCGCAGGTAGTAGTTGTAATACAACTGCCCTATTCGAGATGCAATCTCCCCTATCTCCCACCGTTTCAAGCCAACCTCCACCAGTTGATGACGATGCTCTTGTTGAAACTTCCATAGCCTGGAGTACACCTAACAAGGGCCCAATTACTCAAACATCTCAGTTTTTTTCACACCAGTCTTTTAACGAATGTTTATAACAGCATCCAAGTAAGTACACATTAAAATAGTAAATAATGTGCATGCAATATAGCAACACTAAATTCCAAACCAGTTAATGCGATGAGCTAAATAAACAATTCAGTGGTTTTCTAGAGAAAGCGAGATGAAGGACAGCATTCAGAGGAGACATTCTTCTTCGACATGTCGACTGGATGACCAAGGTAGTCATAGAATGCACTTCACTTTTGCTGATTTATAAGAGCTTTAACAGAGGAAATGGTTAACCTGAAAGGCCTTGTGGAAATAGTGATCCCATTTATTTCGACCGTAGGGTGGGAAATCCCGCAGTCTAGCGAACTTGCTGTAAGCCTTGTCAACTAAGGCTCGGTACTCCTCACTAGGAGAATGAGCTGCAGGTTCCATGCCTCCTATTCGCCAAGAACACGCATATCACTCTTTCACTGCCATTCCACTCATCCAAAGTAGACTAAACGTTAAACCTCAACAACAATTGCGAAGATCAATAACCTAGGCGCCCTAGGTCAGCAGCGCCGCACCAAAATCATTCGACGAATTCCAAAATCCACTCTCTATGTCCCAAAAGAGAACGCACCGATTTCCGAAAGCATATCAAACCCTAGAAGGTAAATGCCTAGACCCTACCTCTCTGAGGCTTCAATCTCGCAGCTCGGCCCAACTCCGGATCGCCAATATCAGGGACGTCAATGGAATTTAATCTTGCAACAAATCTCGCAAAACTAGTGCAAGGCATGCAGGCAAGCCTTCAAAGCCTAGAAAAAGGAAAATTCCAGAGGGCTTGAGTGCGTACGAGCGTGACAAAAACTACCAACCTCTAATAGATCCTCCTCCCGCACAGCATCAAACGACAAATACCCAAATCACTGAACGCAATCAAACGCGGTTGACCGATTAGTGCTAATGGTCAATCAGACTCCGAACTTCCTCGAAATGCGAAAGCTACCTCTCTTCCTACTCGGCACTTGTGCAGCATCACCAACACACCCCAACTCTCAAAGCAATCTGTGTTTTGCAAAGCGCTATTCGGAGGAGAACACGCTCCGGCAAAATGAAAGAAAATCTATCAAGACCTTGAACAAAATGAAGACTCCTGTCAGACCCACACCTCATCACTAATGTGCAAATCACGAAATCTCTTCAAACATCAAAGATTTTCCACAACACACCAAAAATGAACGTATCTCAGCTCAAGCGGTAGATGGGAAAGGAAACAACCATGATCTACCACATTGAGTACAAGGACGGAGACAGCGATCGGGAGAATGCTACAGCTCACACGCTGGCTTCAACGACTGCGTCCATGTCTGTAGCAGCAGCTGCAACGCTCCGAAGCTCTGGTTTCTCTCTCTCTCTCTCTCGTCTACTAGACAGCACAGTCTTAAATGTCGTTCATGTCATGACCCCATAAGGCGGAAGCGTCAGGAACAAAAGTGATGAACTGGTAGGCAGAATCAGATAAAGAAAGGCAGGGATTAAGTGAGTGTGATTAGTTTAATTGGGGATTTATTCCAGCCGCAAAAGGGTCCGGGTGCCAAGCTCTGTTTGACCCCACTGGAGCCATTTACCGGAAGTGGGTCCTCGAAGGATGGTCGATTGTTCTCTGGTGAAGGGCACCCTGATAAGTTGGTTCGCTCTATCTCGCTGTGGGATTCGAAGCCAAGCTGGGTGTTCCAGAAGCTCATTTGGGAACCCAAAACCAAAATTACATGTCTAATTAATTTAGGAGAAAAAAGATTCTCTCTAATCTGCAGGTTTTGTTTCTGAGGTGACAAGCATTGGTGAATGTAATTAAGTGTAAGTAGGCAGGTGTTGTGTACAGATCTCTGCCTTGACCTTTGAGCCAGGCCTTACTGTTATTTTGTAGCCATAACAAGCTCAATAGTGGTGCTATTTAAATATTAAAGATATCATAATACAGAAGATAAATATATTACTCAGGTACTGAAAACTTCCACGTAGAACTGCTTGTTTTTTTGGCAGACATCACTCTTCAAATTTTGGTCTTGTATAACTCTCACACATCACTAAGTGGACTGACTTGGTGACAGGGTTGCAATACTAAGTTCCACTCTATCATCTTCCCAGAAGTCTCTAAAATCTGTGACGGTCTATTGATGCAGAAGTTAGAAAGCTTTGAGATCTCAGCCTAAAGCCATCTCGATCAGAAGAAAGTGTGCACCGACGTCCTTGTCGGCCTTGAGCTGTAGCAGCATGTCTTCAGAAGTTTTAGCCCGGATCTATGCCACAAAAGCCAAGCATGGGTAGGAATCCATTAGTGGAATGGTTGCATAACCACACGGGAGCGGAGGGAGAGGGCTACAAACCACCCTCCTACAAGCCGTCAATACCAAAATGGATTCGTTTCAGAGCAACATTGACAACTTTGATTGTTAAATCAACAAAAGAGTTCTATTGTAACTGGGCCGCTAGTCTACTGCAGTAGTTGCACCCAATGCACGTCGCAGACCGTTTGGCATATTCGATTGAATTCTAAAATCGTTCCAAACACATACCTCCACAGCGTCACGTGTGTCCAGATTCACCAAGTCGCTCACGGACAATTTCCCCTCGATACACACCAAGTAGGCTTGTCGGTTTTTGGAGAGCACAAAGTCTTGTGCAACACCTGGATCAGCTTCGGAGACATACATGTTGCAGTCTTGGTGGATGGGGATGACACCCTGCCCCGAATCCTTCTCCCCCTCAATCTTGTTGAAATCGGTCAGGACGTGCTGGATCTTATTGTGACGATCATCTTTGCTGCCAACGCAAACATGGAATTGTGATGAGATCGTGGTGTTAGCATGCGTTAGGTTTGGCTACATATCTCGGCAATCTCAACGGAAACTGAAAGTCTAGAATTCTTTTTGGGTGTTATGGGAAGGATCTGCACTTACTTGAATATACGTGAACCGTAGTTTGGCTTCAGACCTCTTGTATTGGGCTTGATCCAGATTTGTAAGAAGCGCAACCTGGCCAACTTAGCTTTATGTCAGCTTCAATTGCATAGTAACAAATCAGTTTAACTGGTTTTAAATGTGATGTTTCTTTATAGGAAGCTTCAGTGAAACGGAAATTACGGTAGAAGGAGTAGTGCACATACAACTCATCGCTGCTGTTCATCTCAGAGTGCCGAATTCCTGATCCTGCGCTCATGTACTGAACCGCGCCACGCCCCAAAGTCTCGGATGTTCCAATACTAATCCACAAAACGTAACACGGTAGTTTAATCCTCAAGAGAATGAAGAGCAAGCTAAAATGTATCATGCATGTGATTTCACCACATAGCTAGATGCACATTGATTGTAAGATTCGTGGATCATGCAAGGTTCAGCAATCGTCTAAAACTCCGAAATAACTTCAGTGATTTGGCATCAGTCCACTTCGGTCGGGCTTGATCCAGATTTGCAAGCTTTGAGAAATATTGAACAGGAGCTCATTTACTGGGTTAATATATCACACCTGTCCTTGTGCGTTAGGTTCCCTTGCACAACGTAAGTAAAGATTTCCATGTCGCGATGAGAATGGGTACCAAAACCAGCCTTGGGCTGTGCCCATCAACAAACACTCAATAAATTAGATCGCCAATATAATCACTCGCATTGACAATCTTATTTGCAGCTATCTGGATTTGAATCTTCAACCAGGCATCATGACAAATATTATCACCATGTTCACTTAAATGACAGGATCATGAAACTCTATATTATACCACAGGTTGGCCACACTGAATCTAACCCCTCGCAGCCATGAGAGTAATACCTTCACAAGATCGTCATTCAGAACTCGCAAGACTCCGAACTCTGAGTTTGCTGGATTATAGTACTCTGCAAAACTGAACAGACACAAGAGTTTCTTATTAAGTATAACTACACTGCACAGATGCTGCGTATTATCCTCAAACTACGCATGCTCTCAATCCAAACCTTACGAGACCTCCCTCTCTGACGCCCCGGATCACATCAAAAACTGGCCGTGGTGGAATCTCGACATTTACACCACAAACACTTCAAATTTCAGCTTTAAATATCGAAACATCCCACAAGTGATGCTCGAAGTAATAAAAACGAAGCGTACCTGAAATGAAAGCGGCTCTCCAACCACCATGTGGGAGTGGAAACGTACAAGCTATTTGCCGGAATGTGTCTCATCGTCCTATGTATGGCAATGCGAAGCGTAGAATTAGATTACCATCCAATGTAGCGAATTCAAAAATCAATAAATCGTGATTCCTTTAGCAACTGGCGGGCGCTCGCACCGAAAATTGGCGACAGAAAGCAATTGTCTTACTATGAAGGATGAAGCACAAGCTTCACTTCACCTCGAGGTTCTTTACTAGAGATGTAAAGCATGAAAAAAGGACATATAAAACAGAAATCGCTAAGAGAAAGCGAAATCAAGAGCTGTTCTTCATCTCGAGCAAGAATACACACATTATTTCTGAGGATTGAGGACTAGAAGAAGATGTGAAAGCCTCCCGCGCCGATGCTCCCACCAATGGCACAATACGCTTCACTCCTCTACTACTGCACAATTCAGATGCAGAAAGTTCACAATGAAAATTACACAACCCCCGCGCAGCAAAAATCCCCTTGGAAGTCGCCGGCAGCAACTGCACCCCAATCTTCCGCCACCACCCTTTCACCCCAAATGTTGAGAAGGCGAGATCTACACTTCGGAAGACACTCTGTGGACGCATGTGGACACCAGTTCCTGGAACTAAATACCACAAAATGGGTTACAACTCAAACCACCCCAAACGTTGAGAAGGCGAGATCTACACTTCGGGAGACACTCTATGGACGCATGTGGACACCAGTTCCTGGAACTAAATACTACAAAATGGGTTACAACTCAAGCTCCCACCCTGTTATCTTCCACTCAACAATCCCGATACCTCAAACTAGCTACAAATCGTGCGAGTGGCAACTGAGGTGGACCTAGATGATTGAATCTTCTCCCGGAGCTTCCTGAAGTGAGGATTGCTTACCGGATGTTTTCTTTAGAAGCTGCAAACATCCACATAACAGTTATTTATTGTCTTTTTCGGGGGAGTGTGCGGAAGTGTGGTGGCTTTGACCAGAGATTCCCGCTGCTGGGTGTATTTCCATGGAGGAGGAGGATTTCGCAATGCTGACGCCAGATGACTCTGGGATGGAAAAAGCCAGAGGGAGGGAGCGGAGATGCCCAGGTGACGACGAGCAGCATCAACTCACACAGACACACGCACGCACGCACAAGAATCAACGAAATCCTAAATATATGAAAATATAATAAGCCACTGGCGAAACTTCTCATGCCTGTTTGAGGTTCTGTAGATTTAGGGCTTGAGGTTCGATTGACTATTACACATGGTTCAAATATGGGTCAAAGATGTTAAGAGTAAGAATATACACGTAATCGCCACAAAGTGGATTTGCACATTCAGCATGTTAAATTATCTTCGATTTCTCCACAGTAAGATATCACACATCAACTGTCACTAGCTTGGACTAAAAGGCCATTCCATAGTCACCATATTTTCTTGCGGGGCATCACAATAATACTGACGTTAAACGCGGGTTTTTTTTATTTTAGGTTTGTTGGCTGTGGGATTGGAATAATATCCTGCACAGAGAAGTATTAGCGAACCTTTGGCTTTACACACAATTAGAGGCTTTTAGAAATTAGTGGCAATTAGTCAGGTCTGTTCGATCACTTCTTGCATGTAGCCCTCACAGTGAGAAGCTAACTTTGTAAAAGAATCTAGTCACCCAATTCACAAGGAACCACTCGTTATTGAACACGTACAACCACGCACTCGTCCGGCAGACGAGCAAACGTGTAATATAGTTATGCAAAGTGATAGTAAGAATCACGAAAGCTGAGCAGCAAATAGGGACACAATCTTTCACTCTAAACAATGCCATTTTAAGGTAACAGCCAGAGGTAGGAAGCATCAGAAAAATGTTTCTTTCCAAATGAAGGGATAGCAGTGGATCGACGGGTAAAAGTCAACACTGCAATTCCGCTGGCATATGAGCTTTTACAAATTCAATATAATGATATGGGAATACAACGTGAGAGCTCCTCAAATCATTTTAAGTGATTTAAGACGCTTTAACACACCTGCTAGAGATATCTCATGCTTATGTCTAGTGATTCTCGCAACTCTAGTTAAAGGGTGTCAAACTCGAAGAAGCGTTAGAATGGAGTACGACCGCGAAATGAAGGGGCAGACATTACGGTCAAAATTTCAGTAACTGAGGCCATGGAACACAAAGCCGCTTTGAGGACTTCACCTGGACATCCAGGCTTCACTATTTCCTTCACCTGCACAGAGAAGACATAAAACCCATGTCAGAGAACCGCAAACATTCACGAGTTGACAGTATAGGCAACGGTTAATTACGTTCATCTGATTAATTGTAATGAAGATGAAGTTGCCGAACGGCCAAATTAAGGAACACCAGGAATATTCTCGAACAAGATTGATTTTGTATCGTCCGGACGATACAATTGGTAGCTTTCAAAACAAATTAACTTGCCTTGTCAAGGTATGCACATAGCTCTTGGACTTTGCCAATGTAGTCATTATCTTCCGCTAAAAGCGTAATCGTTTTCAGATCAGCACCAGCACCAGCATATTGAATAGGACCAGGGTTTCTGTAAAGATCATCCATCAACCACGAGCTTGCTTTCTGGGTCAACAACCTGCGGACACACAATCCTTGAGTTAACTTATCGCACGATGTGAACTGAGTGAAGAAATCACAACAAAATCTTGACAATTCACATACATACAAAAACTTATATGCATTAATTAACATAAAAATTAATATTAGCATGTCTCTAAACTATTTCATGACGAAGAAAATTACTCGTAAGGCTTGCCCTTCAGGTCCACTTTGGTACGGTGGACGGCAGGCTTGCCGATCTGGGAAACACCAGGGCCCCGCAGCCATCGCTTTACGGACATCATTGCCTGCACATTTGGTTGCGCGGAATTCCACAGATTCAGTTTCGTAGAAACATGACAAAGCAATGCTTTCATTTATGATCCACACGCAGGATTCTAAAGAGCTTCAAATTAAACTATTTCATCACATTGTTAACGCTAAACTATTGATGGCAAAAATTGGCTCACCGTAAGGGGCGCTCCTCCACAGCGCCATTCCGATACATCCTGCTTCAGATTTGCTACAGTGGCCAAGTATCCAGTCAAACCTGCTTGTGCCAAGTAGTATGCAGTTTGACCCAAAGTCTGTTCACACGAATTCGAGAACTCAGAATGTGGTGGACGATCAGCCCAGCAATGCAGATTCAATCCAAACCTTTATTCAAGGTATAATCGTCATAACATAATAATAGGACATTAAGTAAATAGATTTCACGTACGTAAGCATAATTACAGTCGAAATTGGATGGCAAAGATCCTCGGGCTTGATAACCAAAGAAATGGCAGATAGCGTTGAATTTTTTCCCCTTGTACAATCCTGCTTTCTGCAGACAGAAAAATACCAATCGTAAGCAGATGATTAAACAGATGTTGTTGACAAAGAATGACGAATGATCACCCATTTCAATCCTAAAACAATTAATAATTCTCAAATATACATCATGTATAATTTTAATTAGTGATAAAAACTAACATTGAAGAAATCACGTCACATATTCCCAGAAAAGAACAACGAAAAGGAAGCACTCATTCCGGAGGGAGATGTCAAAATAATTGACAGAAAAGTTACCGTTCGCCTGGTCATTTCGGTGTCTACCAACTGTGCCAAAAGCTTTTCTGTCTCGATCTGCGACAGCGTAATCATTCAGCATTTAATTGAACACTTCGGCACAGAGGCAATAAAATTCTCAGTTTACCATAATTGATAAGGCTGACAGTAATTCTCTCATCACATCAAGGACATTGTAAAAACCAGGACACTGGGTGCAGCAGTGCACTTGTATAACGTATGTCTTACCTGAGACAATTGCACAGAACCATCTGATTCGCGATCCAAAAGCAGCTGAAATATCACAGCAGCTAGAAGTCAGATAAACGCATCCGACTATCTAAGTAAAAAAGATTGCACAAAAATTAGGACAAAAATTAAACTTTGCATAAACAACAAGTGCGAGTTATTCAAAATGAGGCCAAAGGGCGCACAGCGCTGGAAAAAATTAAGCCAAAAAACGTAAAGCAAAAAAAAATATTTCAAGCAAGAACTTACCTGCTTCTTTATAAAGATGGGGAGAAAATCATACAAAGCGGCGGCCCAGGGTGTCAAACGCGAAGATATATTGTTAACATCAATGTCCTCATCTTGTTTCAGAAGGCCATTGATTTCCTGATGCCACGCAACATTATCCGCATTAGTGTGGTCCTCTAGATAAACGCAGCATGCACCGCTTGAAGGCCAAAAATGTTGGAGATATACGTAAGTCAGGACTGAAAGTGAGAGGGCAGTACACCTGTAACAAGGCGTAAAATTCTGGAATACTCTCAATGAGACCTTCTGGAAGGAGCACTACTCCGTGATTCTTTCCTGTCATATTCAAAGTAAATTCCTGCAGATATTAACTTCAATCTCAAAGTTACAGCCTTTCTAACAGGGGCTAGACATTCCAGGCAGGTTTCAATATTGCTTGGTAAGTGTGATGCTATCTAACAGATTGAGATAGGATATGAGTATTTTTGACGCTAACAGATCTGGCTGTTGTGTGTCAGACACTAGCACAGTACCACACTATGTTCCTGGGGTAATGTGGTTTACCTTGTTCTCCCCGAGCCTGTATAGCATCGCATATTTGCATGGTCACATCAAAGAGCGTCATCTTCGAGTTCGCCACTTCCTCACCCAGCAAGACCTGCATCCATCTCACGTCTTTAGGAGGTTCACAGTCGTATCGGCATGATGTAACCCTACCCATACCACATGCTCTATATGAGATCAGAAGGTTTTCGATTATTTATGAACTACGACTCACCATGTTCGCTTGCGACTGAAGGGCACACTCCAGTGATACATGCGACGCTTGCCTTCCCATGAGTCTGATGAAGTAGTAATACTGCAGTATGTCCCACAACTCACGTAAGGTGCAAACACTTGAATGAAAACATTAATACAAGATATCCTGCTCGTTACAACGAGACAAGAGTATTGATTTCATAGTATCCTGGGGTGGAACAAGAGCTGTAAAATCTTAGTGAACATAAACTCAATACAATAACGAAGACATTTGAAGGATAAGTCGCCACCTTTTCAGCAGACAGTGCATCCGTGCAGATGTTGCTGATAAGCTGTGAATACACCTGTCAAACCCGAACAAAGAACTAAATACTTCAGGCACTTTCAAACGAGATATGCACAAGTTCCAGAAAACGGAGTCAGTATTGACGCCAGATATGCTGCACAAATTACGCATACGGCATGCTAACGACTTGACACTCAGCATCGAACATAAACTTTGCTCCCTTCGATCCAGAAAATAAATTCAAAAGGTCGAGCGCAAAAAAACCTTGCAAGTAGTGTCAAATCCAACATCTGTCTCAACGAACTGATTTTTCAGGTCCCCGTCAATTGTTACAGGAACTCCAATCACCTGCAAAAGGGCATAGCAAGAACCATAAGAGAAAAAGTCAAATCCATTCAAATATAGAATATAGAGACAAATCAATCTCAAATATCAATGCAGGTTATTTAAGACCACAATGATAAAATCAAGAAAAACATTTATTGCTCTGCAAACAATCCTTCTTGAACATAATTGCTCGATGATAAGCAAGTCATATATCTAGGCTGCACACATATTTCTAAAACTTGAACTCGTAAGATCATCGACGCTCACGGTGTCTAGCGATACACAAACTGGTAAGACGCCATAGCACCCTCTCAGATCATCAATATATCCAACAATGCTATCAGATTTTAAATGTGGAATCATGTGGTAATAAATAACCTTTGTTGTACACCCAGATTCCAAAAAAGATTCTGCGAGTTGTGCAGCGTCTGTATTTGTGCCAGTTCCTGGCCCAGACAATTCCAAAGTAAAATTATCAATATACAATGTACAAATAGTTAAGCCGACATACATCAAGGAGAGAAATTGAGGATGTTAAGTCTTCAATTAAATGTTATCTACATCAGGAAGACAATATTGAATTACAAACTTGGCAACGAAACTCGAACAGGTGCTCACACTGGACCATTTTCAGTAGGCTGCCCCTATCGGATGTTAATACAACCAGACCAAATTTTGAGAAAAACTAACACCAAAACCTTACAGAAGAGAACAAACCTCCGATAAGGACAAGGGCGTCCAACTTCAATGCTTCACATGCAGCCTTAGCATCATTCACTTGCTGAGAGGACTTAATTTGATCCTTCGTTCGCCCTAGAAGGTCATAACCTCCTGTACAAGCCAACATTGTTCCACAGAACTTGGTAAAACATATCGAATGTCTGCAACAGTGTCTTGTAAGAGACCAGCATTTCATGACATATAAAACCTTTCGTAGCCCACCCTCATTTCATGGCGTGATTGACGTGTAAGAGATAAACTAACCCTGGTTGCGAAAATCCTTGAGGTGGTCATTTGTGAGTTCAACAGTCTTTTGGGCAAATATGCCCTCCGTGCCACCTACGCATTTCATCAGGAGAACAGTAACACAATGAGCTATTCATTACTAGCATGGCAAGAAAAGACAATCTGGCCTGAAGATGCGATGCAGTACACACACACACACACATATATATATATATATATATATATATATATATACGAAGGCTTATCAGCGTAGGGGTTTCAGTAAATTGGAAATTTTAAGCATCTAAAATTGTAAGCGTCATGGCGCTTTCGAATGAATGCTCCTCTTCTCTGAGCAGCCAACAACTACAAATCTCACGTCGTTCACATTTCATTGTCCGAGATAATGGATTAAAGAAGCAGCATACAAGTACTGTGTATTGAATAATGTGAGTGAGGCAATAAGACATGGGAGCTCAGCGCCCACTAAGTGCAGGCAAAGCAAATGGGATTTGGGCTAGTAGTCTGGCAGTTTATCCTTACAGATAGATACGTACCAACGAAGCCAATCAGGACACTGTCAGCGTTTTGACTCTTCAGAGCGTCAAACAATCCCGTAATAACGTTATGACCTCCGGGTGACTGCCGCCCGCAAAAAGCAACACCGATCCTGTTGGAACAACAACAATAATTGATTGGACGTGTAATTTCATGCCGAGAACATGAATCTATCGACAGCGCCAAAACAAAATTCCTAATCAATTAAGATTAATATTAGCAATCTAGCCTTCTGAAGGCCTCAACTCGTCCACAGAGCTAGCGGAGTTAACAGCACCTTAAAAAATAAAGAGAAACAGACCGATATGCAAATCCGTCTTGATTATCAATATACATGCCAAGAGAAAGATTTGTAAGACACTTATAATTTGCACACCTGAGAGTAGAATGCTTTGCCGCTTTGTCCTCGGACACCAAGTGTACCAGAGGCTGACCATAAGTATGTGGATAGGCCCGGCTCACAGCGAGGCGATCGGATGGATCAGCTGCGGTGGTGTTATCGCCCTTAGAAACCTTCACATTGCCACCCTGCAGCACAACCACTCACAGGTCAAGAAACCACTTCATGACGGCCCCCAATGCTTCCAAAATGGTTGACTCGGATACATAAGCATAACGACAATAACACTGGTGCTCTTAGCACACAACCGTATAAGTCACTCCACAATACACACGATAATCTACATAACCGAGGCAAAGTTCATGTACACAAAAACACATTGAAGTAACGCAAAACCTTCTGTAGCCACAGCAACCGATCAATCACATTCCAGAAACGACATCCTCCCCTTCCCCAAGCTATCTACAACGAAGAGTGGACCTTCCAGCATTGCCTTACTAAAGGCCAACTACTTCCTCCGCAAACAAAAAAAAGAAAAGAAAAACAGAATAAAAAAACAATAAAAAACCACACGCGGAACCAGAACCTACATTACAAATAATGCAAACCAAAACAGGGCCATTCCACAACCGTGATTATCACCAAAAACTCGCCAAATCCACCCCTACTATCTCCCGCATCCTCCTCAACAATCCTTCAATGCGAAAACCAACACAAAATCAATGCAAGAAAATGCAACAGCCACCTTCAATGCGGGCGGAATTTGGGGCTCATACTGAGCTCGCAAGGCCGACAATCCCTGCAACTTAGACCCCTGCTGCTTGAGCTCGATCCCCATAGCTACAACCCCCCGCGTCTCCTTCCTTCCGCTTCACCTTTCCCAACTTTCGAAGCACAGTGAAGGGAATACGCTGAGGCTACACACGGCGGAAACAACGATCAAACAACACCTTTCTTCCACAGCACACTCGCAGGCATCAATTTACGAAGGCTCGAATACCAATACAATATCTCCAATGCCAATACATCCCTCCCCTTCTACGAAACACAACATTCACTCTACGAATATGGAAATATCAAATCGGAGCCGCAGATTACGCAGCGGGTTCGATGCTATTCATTTCACGTTGAGGCAAACAACAGAATAAATCCAAGCTATTTCTAGATGGGTGAGAAACTCGGAAACCCGGAGCTGGTCCCACGTGGATTACCGGCCGAGGGTTCACGTAGATCTGAAGTCAGGGTGGAAGATTGGCACTGGCCATTTTGATAGATATCGGGGGAGGGGAGCAGGTGGAAGATGCTGATAGCAGTCAGTCATGCTTACCCAGAAGGGGCTAAATGCAGTAAAATATCTTAAATTGGGCGGGCATTGGGGGGTAGCAATCAGTGCGAAATATCCCCGCACAAAAGAAGCTCTTTATCTCTGGTCTTTTTCCCCGGTCAGGGTCTGGAATCCGGTTAGGGTATTTAAATTTTTTAGGGTTCTCCTGGATGACTGCCCGCTTCTGTTTATCCTTGATGATTTCCTCGCGTGATGTAAACCTGTTCGATTGGATGATTCTTATTGTGGATGTTGACGAATGAAGTCTGCGTGGATCTTTTGTGGAATATTCCTAAACTATTCACCCTAACCTCTGTAGAACAAAGTTTAGGGTGTATAATTTAGTGCTTTCGGGTATTACTTCGTGGGCAATGAAATGGTGGGGGAACAAGTGGATCAGGTTTGGAAAACCTGTTGATAATGTATAAGAGATTGTAGCATGGAAATGGAACATAAAAATAAACAAATAAATTGTAGGTAATAATAAAAGCTGATATTATAAACAACCAAAAATACAATGAATAGGGGCATCAAATGAGTAAAAACGGCAACTCAAACATGAACTTAAGGCAACAATTAGCAAAATTGTTGTAGAGGAGATTACTGCAAATTTGACATCCCATGCTTTGCATGTTTTGTGCTTGTGAACTAGGATATGATGTGTTTCATAAGACTTGGCTAAAAGAGGATAGATGGGATAAGAGAACATTTATTGGTGAGTAATCAAGACTGATTTAAAGAAACACGCAAAGCTAAACTAATTAGTTTTGCCAAAGATAAGACATGAAAAAAGATGCTAACAAACAAACAAATTCAACCTTTGAAGGCACAATGTTACACCTTTCAAACATTTGCTTCATGACCATAGGTTTAAGTTTCACAATCCTCACTATCTACTATCCCACATACTTTCAATTTGATTGACACCCTTTAATAGAAGAAGGATAATTGATTAGTGTAGAATTATAAATAAATAAAACAAAAGGACTTTTCAAATGAAGTTATACATTAGATTTATATACAATGAATGATATCATTTTAAGATCTATTATATAAAATAGCTTAGATAGAAGATAAAAGATAAAAATGTATTTTGATTGGTTATTTTAAAGAAAGTATCTATTGAATTGTTTTTGCTAGGATTTTGTTGTTGTTATACGTTGGTTCATAAGACATAGCTAATGATGAGTTTGAAGAAGAACAAGAGTTTTTCAATGAATTAAATAGTAATTTTAATGATGAAGTATTTTATTACATTTTATTTTTCTTTAAATTCTAATATTTACTAAAATTATTAGTATACACTTTGCTCTATTTCACTTATTTAGTATTTTTTGTTAGATGAATAACTTGTCACAATGCAACAAATTGTATGTATAATATTACTGCTCAATAATGTTGTCTATATTGTGCAACTAGCAATTGATAAGTAAGTTTGAGTAATTAGGGTTTTGTTTTATTTTTAACCATATTGGTTGCAATGGCAAGTTGTTTTTTGTATTTTATTGTCAAAATTATAAGAAGATTGATTCCTTAAGAGAAGTGTGTGAGAATGTATTGAATATCATTGAAATACAATTTGTGGCTTGAATCACTAGAGTCGAAGTTGTAAAATATTGGATGTTGGGTTGTAAAGATGTGGTAGTTATGGTTAGAGACAAAGTGTGTTGTTGGGCATGTGGTGCATTACTTGAGCCATGGATGAATGAATTTTGATACAACTATGGACGTGAAGTAGATAAATCATTTGATTGTGTACCGTAGCTATGATAGATTGGTAGTCAAGCCATGAATGAGTTATGAGAGTAATATATAGTGAAATTCTGAAGTTATGAGATTGTGAATGTTTGTCAATTGTTGTGGTGTCTTAGTAAACAAACATAAAAATTAGTACATGATACAAGTCATAATTGAAATGCAATCATATTATAAGATCTTCTTAGTGTTATAAGGGAGTTTAGAATCTTATATTGATATTGTGAGAATATAAGATTAGTAACATAAGAAAGTAGGAGTTGCAAGTGTGTAGATTATAGTGGACTTAGATGGTTTAGAGTATTGTTAAGGATATGAATCTCAAAGAAAGAGAATCCTTGATACACTCTTGTATCAATGAAGAGAACTAAAAAGTCATTCAAAAGGTAATGTAATATTAACTAGAATGACTATTGTAAAAAACAAGAAGACCATAAAGACTTCAAACAAGACTAAAGACTAGAACGACATTGACAAGAGTGAAGAAGGCTTCATTCTTGCCTCCATATATACTCTTAATTAGGAGTTACGTGGTGATGTCTTATAGGACCTCCAAAACATATTGACTTTGCTAGCCACTATCACGGCCATAATCATGTAAGCTAATAATTACATATACAAATAGGTAGAAGTAAGTAAAAGTAGGTAAAAGTAAGTTAATTCTATAATATTTAATATGAAAGCTTCTTAGAAGCTTTCTAGATGCTGCTTTGACTTCATAGGTGTCTTTAATTGACTTTTTGGATTAAAAACGTGGTCAACAAGTTGGCCATGTGCCACACATGTTGTTAGCTTGAAGATCAAGCTAACTATGTGGCCCACACGTAGAAAAACTTGCCTTGTAAGTCAAGGCATGTGTCCTACAAAGTCAACACATATTGGAGGTCCTATAGAACGTTGCCATGTAGCCCCTAGTCAGATAATATATATAGAGACAAGAGTGAAGGCTTCTTCACTCTTGTCAACTCCTTTCTTGCTTCTAGTCTAGTTTCAAGGGTCTCTAGTTTTCTTGTCTTTTGGCAATAGCCATTCCAGTTTCTCTTTCAATATATATACTTGTTTATATATATTTTGTTACCTCTCTTTGAGTGAAGGCTCACTTGTGTGAATTATTTTTTCATCGAGTTCTTGTCCTTGACAGCAACATGTCTTAATTTATAAGGCAAATTATTTATGTATACACCACATGGTTAGTTTATTCCACAAGTTATTATATAAAGTTAACTTATTCTACAAGCTACCAACATATGGTTAACTTGTTGACTAAGTTTCTGACCTACAAATACATCTAAAATCAAAACTCTGTCTATAAAGCTTCTAGGAAGCTTGACTAAAAGACTTCATGAGATTAATCTATATTTACCTACTTTTACCTATTTATATAAGTAATTATTGAAGTAAATATATATATATATATATATATATATATATAGTATTACCTCTCTCCCTTCTAGGAACGAGTTCTACGAGGAGTGGTCTTCATATGTTGAAGAAATCTAAGATGCGGCAATTTATATTTGCCACATATTCCAATCTTTGCTCTATTTGAAGATGGTTGATAGGTCCTCTCAGCCATCAATAGTGTCCCATACCAAGGTGAGAAGACCACCTTGTTATTTGATCATTATTGAAGTCTTCGTAACTTCCTTCAAATAAAACATTTAGAATTCTATCATGAGTTGTTCCAACCTCTAATAAAATCATCAAACATAGGGAGTCTCTTTCAAAGATGTGATATCAAACACACTGAATCTCGCCATGTATTCGAGGAAAGACATGTCGTTCTTGAAGATCTTCATCTTGATTTTGTTGTCTTGAAGGTTGTGGCAATTGTAATGTCATATCTGATAAATCCGCAAATGAAAGCTCTTGAGTTGAATCTCTTGATTGTTGATTCTCCACCTCTTTAGCATCACAAATATATACAAGCTACAAAAAAAGATAGAAGGTAGAATGTTATCTTTCTTTCATCTTATTTCTTTTATAGCAAAGATTTGCTATTCTTTATCTTAGTTTTGATGGTTTTCATTGATGAAAACTTCAACTTTCTTTGCTGCATTTATAAGATTCTTTATTGGCTTCCATGCGTGTTCATTAATATCATATCTACGCTAATGAATAAGATATTTCAACCTATTTTGGCATCGCCTTGAGTCTAAAACTTCTTCCACCTCGAGCTCTTGATTATTATCTACTTCTATAGGAGGAGGTGGTATTTGTCTTCTTCTCAAAATATTCATTGTCTTATACAACTCAAAAAGGGATACATGAAATATAGGGCGGATCTTCTTACATTCTAGTAGATGTAATCGATAACCAATACAATTGATTTATTCACAAATAGAAAAAGGTCCCAGCCTACAATAGTTCAACTTATCACAAAGATGAGTAGTCTTAATATTGCGACAAAGTAACCATACCTTGTCACCTATGTTGAATTATAGTTGCTCTATATAATATGCATCTGCATTGGTTTTTTGTTGTCTTTGAGCTTCTTTTAATTATACCTTCATTGTTGCATCTAACTTTGACAAATGATTTGCTAAATCTTCTATTAAAGAATTATCAACTTTTGAATATTCAAAAGTATCAAGTTGTAGATGATAACCATAATTAACAAAGAAAGGTATTTGTTGAGTAGAAGAATGTACTAAATTATTGTATGCAAACTCTATCAATGACAAAAGAATTGTCTAATCATCTTGATGATAGTTGATAGTACATCTCAAATACTATTCCAAAATTTGATTCACCAATTCCGTTTCTCCATCAGTTTGAGGATGAAAAATCAAAGAAAGCTTTATATCCACTTTTAGCATCTTAAATAAGGTTCTTCAAAATCTTGATACAAATTGAGTCCCTCTATTCGATATAATATCCTTTGGCAATTTATGATAGTGATAGATAT